CTCCTCCTCCTCCTCCTCTTCCTCCTCCTCTCAGCTTCTAACTCAGGTTCTTGGGCAATCTAGTTCTCATGACAACGGGCCAAGCACCTTCTATTATTGTGAGTTTTATTTTGGTGCATCGCCAACAACCAGCAAGATGGTTCTTACGTCCTTCCTTAGCCTCCTTCCAATGGTAAGAAAAGAAAATCAGATGGCCGATCTCGGTTCTTCTCAGATTGTGGAACACATTAGTGATGGGAAATGAAAGCTGCCTTTTTAAATTTAGACCTAATTTTTAACTGTTAGACTAAGGAAATCAAGAAGAAAGAAGAGGCAAGGGGTGGGTGGGTGCACCAAATATCTCTCGTTCATATACTCTGTGGCTAACCTTCAGCAAAGTTTACTGAAAGGGGAAGCAGAAGAAGACTTGTCAAGGTAAGGAGAGGCCTGCTTCCCTGCCCATTCATTGGTTGCACGGGCAACCAATGAGGAATTCTTCTGGAATTCTGGAATGCTTCTCCTGATTCAGTTTTTGTGCTGCTTCTTCCACCTGGATATTCTCTGGATGTTCTCCAGATTCTCAGCTTCCCGAATTCTTAGCTGCCATGTTTGTCCAAGACAGCTAGAGATAGCAAGATTGGGTAAAATTAGTCTGTGGTTTAATTGTAGAATAGTGGGATTACAGCCACAACTACAGGGATATGGGGCAAGGATCTGTATGTTGGAGACCAGGCTTTTTTAGAATATTGTTTTTTGGAGAAAAAGGCAGAAACATAATAAATGATAAACTGACCACTCAAATAAGTAATTTCATCTTAGGCCAGGACATGCAGAAACACATCCATAGAATGAGATTATAAATAAAAGGTATGAATTGGACGGTGGGTAATCCTCGATTTACAACTGTTCATTTAGCAACTATTCATTTACAACAGGACTGAAAAGAATAACTGATGACCAGTCCTTGCACTCACGACTGTAGCAACATACTCAGGGTCACACGATCAAAATTTGACACAGTTGATAACTGGCATATATTATGACAGTTACAGCGCCCCGGAATCGTGTAATCACCATTTGTGATGTTTCCAGTTAGCTTCTGACAAGCAAAGTTAATGGGGGAAGTTGGATTCACTTAATGAGAACATGAGTCACTTAACTACAGCAGTAATTTGCAAAAAATAAATAAAAGGGTTTGTAAAATTGGGCTTAGCAATGGAAATTCTGGACCTGATTATGACTGTAAGTTAAGGACAATTGAATAGAAATGGAATGGAATGGAATAGAGAGTAGAGCAGAGCAGAGTAGGGTAGGGTAGTGTAGAGTGGGGAATGGAATGGAATAGAGAATAGAATAGAGTAGAGAATGGAATAGATAAGAATAGAATAGAATAGAATTCTTTATTAACCAAGTGA